TTGTACCAATATATCAATCAAAGAACATATAATTTCTGATCTTTTGGTAGAGTTTCTTTAATATTTCAATGTGCTATGTTTCAAATTCGCCTTTCAACGTGGCTAATAAGGTAATATGATTAGAAAAACGTGCTAATATAATAGCACATCGCTTTGTGTACGTGTTAACTTAATAGCTTATTGGATTGAATGTTCAAACGAATCCATTACGAGAGGTTTTTAATTAACTTCTGCATGTTAAAGGCTAGCTCGTTTTCCCCCTTTTCATTATCTGTACTCTCTAAATGAACATGTTTACTGCAATTAACTTGATCAGCTAATATCTCTTTTGATGCCTCATTTGTATCTATTACATGTGTTTGTTGTTTTTTGTTGAATTTGGCACAAAACTGAATACTGTTTTACATTAGAAGTAATTGGATAAAAGTTCGACACAAATTTACGTACATTTATAGATGAATTACTAAGAAAGCCTTTTATCTTGTCTTTTGTTTTTATTGCCTAAATCATAAACCAAAATTTAAGTTAATTTCTCGAATTTAATTCTACAATAAGTTGGTTTATCGTTTTCTTAATTAAACATCATCTGCATACAACGGATGTCGGCTGTCGGGCGGTAGGAAACTTCGCCTCACATTTTTCATCTTAACAACTTCCTAACTTGTTAAGAATATAGATTCAGAATTTACTGCTCAACTTGTATCATAACTTAGAACGTTTAATTTTTTTAATCTTATACAAAATCTGTATAACTTTAACATACACATTCTTTGTGTCCTAAAGTTTATTATATATAAAAATCTTAAAAAGCTATTTTAAATTTGTATCACCAGTTTATCAAGATGTTTTTTAAATCCTACTGGAATAGCATTCATTTTTGCTATTCGACTAAATGCTGTCATTTAGCTTATAATGAAGAGCTGTTAACATTATTAACCTTTCCAAGAATCATTTATTTCAAAGTAAGAAATTAAAAATACTTTTTTGTGTTGGCAAATATTAGTGGAGCGTCGGTGGCTCCGTGGTCAAGCACTTGACTTGCAATCTGCAGGTCCTGGGTTCGAATCCCGCCATGTACCAATGTGTTTTTCGATTTACATATGTACATTTATCCGACGTTCTTACGGTGAAGGAAAACATCGTGATGCAACCTGCACATATCTGAGAAGAAATTCAAAGATACGTGTGAAGTCAACCAACCCGTACTTGGCCAGCGTGGTTGACTATGGCCTAATCACCCTTAACTTAGGGTAGGCTCCGAGCCCCTCGGTGGGGACGTATAGTGAGCTGATGATGTCAAATATTAGTCGAGAGTGATGGAGATGGAAATTAATATTTAAAACACTAACTGTCACCCGCGGCTCTGTCCGCGCGGATTAAAAAAACTTAAGTAGTAGCCTATGTCTCCTTCCTCTGGAAGACGTAGATGTAGAATATAGTCTGCTATATTTTACATCTATACCAAATTTCATCGAGATCGAGATTTTCAGCCGTTTTAAAGATCTTCAAACAAACATCTATCCATCCATCCAAACATTCGAATTTATATATTGGTAAGATTTACTGGTTAAAATTAATAAGTCAGTGTACATGTGTAATGTATTTTTCTAACGAATAGCTAATTAAAGATTACCTACATATACATATGTGAAATTATTTATATAGATTTCGATTAACATTGAAATTACATTGATAAATATTTGATCAAACATTTGTCGATCTGATCTCGATTATGTGTGATGTATACGAAAGTTGTTTCGTCTCCCCTCTCATCTCTATTAAGGAAAAGCGTCACAAGTTATTAAGGGGACCATTCAAAGCTACTTGTGTACGCACTTTTGATAAAAGTATTGGCACACAGAGTATAATATTATTTTTCTCTCGCTTAATAAAAGCAGGCTGTTGAGGTTTGACCGACTCTAAAGGATAAATAAAAAAGGCAAGGCTTTTAGCGATTCGTCATATAAAACTTATCTGGTTACATGTTAAGAAGATTTAAAGAGCACTCATAACATAAATCATGTAGGTATGGATATTGAAGCCCGATAAGTGTACCAAAACAAATGTAACTCCTTGATTTCTGCCTTCCTGATATTACCAAGATTATTTATTTATTAATACGTGAATCTCAAATTCCAAAAACTTAGTTAATTCTGAATTTTCGTAGTTTTAGTAGTTAGCCGAATATTTTGCGGCACTTGATAAACTCTCGGAAATTGACCTCGTTGCTAATTACCTGCCAACTCAATTACTTCCAAAGGTAATTAGTTACAAGACTTCATTACACAGGCGGTAGCTTTAGTTGATAATTGCGGTATCGACAAACGTGTATTTAATAAAATATATGCACGTTTGCGAGATTTCATTATAAATAACACGGTTTTAGCAATTCGGTTGATGTTTTAAACACACTAATACGAATACGATAACAACTACTATCGAAACTAAATGTTATAAGTATCCATTCTGCTCTAAATTGTAATATATTTATCTCATTAAACACGTGTTTCTGAGAGCATTGCTAATATATTAATGTCGTTGTTTTCTGAAAGATAATGATATGCTTTATACAGAGATTTTGGTCTAAGAAACCAACGCTATGTTGTTATTATGGATTTCATAACTAAACTAGTGTTTAACGAAGAGTTATCAAATACGACTAAATAACTTTGATTCCAGGGTATTGATTTAAATTGAATATTAAAAATATGAGCACGTAATATTTAAAAGTGTGATGCAAACCCGGTCATCGGGTTCGTGCACACTATTCGGATCAACGCCTGCAGGCGGATGGCCCGTCATGCGTGCACTCGCCCTAATTTAAATGATGCCCCGTTCGAAATGCTAACGTCAAATAAATATGATATTCAGTTAAGAGACACAATGATATCGATGAAGAGATTTTAATTCGTGGTTTGAAATTTTTACTTTATAATACTTTACCTAAACCTTATCCTGTAAGAAATAAAAGTATTTTTATTAACTAAAAATTTTCCAAAGAAATTGGTAACTTAAAATTGAGAGTTCTTTAAGGACAATAATTTATAGTGGATGATGAACGATGGAAAATGGAAATGATAATTTTACGACTTATGATAACATTACTTCGTAAATAATACAGAGTTGATGTAACATTTCAATTTTGTCAAGAGAGCCGTGTTCGTGCCGAAACATGTCGCAGAGCACACTTCTCTGCAAATACCTCTTGGTAACGTCTTTTCAAGTATGTCTAAGGAAAACAAATGTTTACTTTATGCTACTAGTAATTTACATATTAGAATTCCAAATTCAAAAATCATCAATTTAGTTTAGAACTGGCAATTTTTTACTCGAATTAAACGTTATAAAGGAAACAATATAATTATCGAAAGTACTTGCAACGCTTAGGTTTATTTTTCAGGTTGTTTAAAAATATAGTTTTAAAGTTTACAAAGAATTTAGTCACGTATAAAGTAGTTTTATCTTCTTTGTAAATAAATGGAAGTGAGTTGAAGTCAGTGCCGTGTTCAATGCTTTGGAGCGTGTAACGTGGTATGCGTTGAATTCAAACTTTTACTGCAACATACATTTTTTTCAAAACCCTCCAAGCCTCTATAACTCTACACGTAAACCGTTAACTATTTATAGCATTTTTATGACACATCTTTCTTTTCCTTTCATTTATGGTTTTCATTGAACAAAGTTTTTTATCATTATTTTATTTTACACGTAAGTTTGTACCTTTCAAAAAACTTGTCGAAGTAAGATTCAATGAAACATTTTCAATGATTTTATATGCAGCTTTATCTCTTATTATGAATAAGTTTTTTTTCTGAATATTGGAAGCGACTGACAAATAAACGTCGCGTCGTGTCACGGTCAAATTTATTTCGAATTGGCCAGTAACGGACGTTCCAGAAGCTTCGACATGAATTATACATTACCTAAGGGAAGTACACAGAAACAATTCCGCCAATGATCTCATTCAATTCCTCTTCTTTCCACGCAATTCTCACGGCATAAGGAAAATATGGCAGTAATTCGAAAAGTTTTATTACTTTTACGTGCGTATTTGTTAAGTCGATTTCGGCAAATCGCCGCGTAAGAGGTTTCCTTTATATCTTTCGACAGATTTTTACTTACGGGTGCATGTTATTATATTAAAAATAAATACATTTAACTTTAACCTGTATATTACGTATTAATTGTCTGGAATAATAAGTACATCTTATATAAAAATATGTTTATACATACGTTTCTTCATATCAAACAATGGATTTTTGCCATTTGGCATCAATTCTAACCGACAATGTCCTACTGCAAAATATTCGACCTTTTAAAGAGCTGCTAGATATGACGCTATGCCAATATACAGTTTACAAATAGTGGAATTATCTATTGTTTTAATTAATAATTATAATTACACTATCGTTCTATTTTTATTATTTCCATTTTCAAATACATAAACACTTATAGATTGCATTAAAATTCGCAACGTGTAGTAAATAGCATTTAATATATTGAAACAATAAAGCGAGAGAGAAACTGTAATCTGTACTGAAAACATCGCGCTGACCGCACTGCAGGGGAGCACTAAAAGTCGACCCAAACATACTCCCGGACAGGACTGAACAAACAATGTTAATAAAGGCCAAACATCCCTAACTTACCTGTCGCCTGCGTCGCGTTTAACAAAAACACGCCTCATCTCCCGGGGCTAAGCTCTCAGACGAGCTTCACTATCTTTATTTAAACAATGTTCATACAAATTTCGCTCGGTTAAAACAATAAACTTTGCATTAAATTACGATTTTCTCATTTATTTATCTTCATGTGAAATAAATATATTCATTGATTCAATATTATACTTTTAAATATGTCTAAAGCTCCAAGGATGGATGATACCACTTTCTAACGACCGACAATGATGGTGATACATCCTAATATGTTGAAGTTCTTTTATATTGAAATAAGATGAATCCGATATGTACTAAAATTTGAATTTCTATCTTGTTCCATAGACAACACATTCACCGTGGTGGTTGAGAAGGACGGACGAGGTCTAGGCATGTCGGTGTGCGGCGGGGCAGGGCTGGTGCGCATCCGACGCCTGTACCCGCCGCAGCCCGCCTGGCGTACCGGTCGACTGGCGCCCAGGGACCTCCTGCTCGCAGCTAACGGTGTGCCTCTAGCCGGTCTTAGTACCTACGTGAGTACCTTATCTGTTGTTCTTTCTCATTGTGCTGCCGTCCCTTTCCACAGTAATAGGGAATAGGGATCCGGCATTATCATATGCTCTTAAATGCTTAAATGCCAATATCGATTTCGGTATCTTAGTAGCTTAATGTAAAATATGTATTTTACAAAAAAAAACATTTTTATGATTTTTTCGACATCTTTTCATTTGTTTTTCAAGTTTTACAATATCATTAGACCCAAGAGATCTCTTCACAAAGTTAGAATTTGTTAAACTTCCGCGCGTAAACTTTCTAAAGATTTTCTTAAGTTACAATTGTAATATACATTTATACTGAAAGGGAAATTATACATTTTCCATGAAATAATAATAACAACCTTTGTCATAACCTCACAATAAAATCCTGCTTAGTCAGGGGTGGAGAGAAGTAAAAGGTTTTTAATTTTTATACATTTGACATGTCAAAACATGGGACTTGTCAAAGTATATACAGAGTAACCCAATTTACATAATACATAACTGTGTATCTTGTACACTCTAAAAATGGATATATTACGTCATCTATAAAAGTTGCAATTTCCCGTTTTAGCACTTCCGACGACACAGTATTAAACATAAAAAATATGTTAACGTTGAAATTGCCTGCGCTAATGCTGCAGCAATAAACTGCAAAGGGTTGTCACGCCCTCGTCTAAAATATACTACAATTTTAAAAAAACGTTTTTGTAAACTTACAACTGAAAAAAATATCTAAACGATGATATCTTTAATAAATGTAAAAAAAGTGGATTCTGTAAATTAATTTTCTATTATCGGATCATTTATTTAGTGAAAATGTCTATTTTCATCGAGTTCGATACAATTTTGTACATTCAGTTGGAAAAGTTTTAATTTCTTATAAAGTTCACTAATTACAGCCCTGTTAGAAACATCTCGGATCCGTCGCCCGCGGTACTAAAATCTTCGGTAACATATTAGGCCTGTCGATAAAGTTATAACTTTGCCCAACTTTGATGTGAACACACAAAATCTTTTCTTGTATGATTCTGTAAGGTAATTTCGTAACTTTTGGTTCAGTGAGTTTGAACGAAGTTGATACAAATCTTACATCATATGCGATAGAAACTTACAAAATCTATATTAAGGCTTATCATTTCTATTTACGAAATAATTTCAAACTTTAGTAATATATGTTTGTCTTGAAATAAAAACCGATGGAAGTTGAAAAAGAAAAAATGGATCGCTCCCTTTCGTTGATCCACAATTGATTTCGAAGTGTAATTGAATAAAATACTTTCTGGGATTATATTTAACTCTTGATTCCGTTCCGGAGGTCGAAAGGCGAAGTACGATGAGTGTCACGAACAGAATTAACAACTCGAACAAAGTGAGGCTGTCCTTATTTTGAAATTGAATTCCCTTTGCTTTATTTGAGTAATTTTACTTTTGTATCTTTCATTATATGTATATTTACACCGTTATATAGTAATACTGCAGAGTTATTGTCTCCTTTAGGTAAATTAAATAACAAATCTACACTAAGGACTCCCTAAGTGAACAATTAACGACTGTATGGTAGTACTAAACTCGGTTATACTTATCTATACAATTGCTTCAATGTCACTAATGAAAGAGTGTAAATAGAAATGTAAGATTTAATCTATCTAATTAAAATAAGGTTAACTATAAATTGAAGTGAATCTAATATCGAAAAAAGGTTTATGTGTTTATTTATTTTTTCTGTCTGTCCGCAAATCCGCGTTTGTTCCTTGTACTCTCTAACACGACTGGTTCGATTTTATCGGGATTTTTATTTAAACTGATGTATGTCGGAGTAACTTAGGGTATTTTTCTAATACCTCGCTGAGAGAGACACGGGGAACGGCTAGTTATGCTTATATTAATACTGTCGTCAGCATTCTTGGACCGTCTCTTGCATCACTGCGCCCTGCCCTGCCTAATTGCGCCTTTAAAACAATGACGTTAATCAGAAATGCACGTCTGGTTTCTTACTAATGACGACTATTACACATGTTTGTAGTATAACTTTCAGAATATGAGTGAAATAACGTATTTATTGCACTGCTCATCGTCTAATTTCACTCATAAGAAACCAAAATAAACGAGCGTAATAAAGGTTTGATACAGTTTTTTTTACTATTTTTCTTAACTCAATGAGTTTTTAACTTTGTTAGACTCTGCAAAGCTCTACGTAGTTTGCAATTTTTACAACTTTTCCCTCCCTTTTAATGATTACGAGTCTAAAGACTGTCCGTGTTTGTAGAGTGTTACTTTAATTTGTTTGAGTTGATGGAAACTCTTACGAACGGTAACTCAATAGTCTTTGACTCTTGATACTTTTATCGATGATATGGTTTTAATGTTTTACACCTTATATTAATACAAAAAAAATGAATACGTGAACGGCAACTAATATTATTCGTTAGTGTTTATTTAGCAATTATTAAAAGATAGCTTGCGCCCATGAATCCGTCCGCGCGGTGTTGATAAAAACTTAGTAAATAGCCTCTGTGTTCTTGGTGACTATGATGACGCGTTGAGCCGTTTTGGAGTTACCTTCTAATAAACATACATCCATTCAACCCCATGTTAGTACATTTTCGCATTTATAATATTAGTAAGATTAATTTAAATTGTGTTCTAAATCAAAATTGTGCAAGAATTTTTTGTTATAATAAGTCATATCATACAAACTATTCATAGCAGAAATTACAACTGTTGGGGTACATTTTAAAAGTGGGCCGGCGTCCATTGTGTTGCTAAATTAGAATACCCAGTACGTTACCTGCGCTACTGAAACTGACAGGGATTAACAACTAAACAAATTGAAAAGAAAGGAAATTTAAGAAAATAAAACTTCATTAAATTTAAAAAGAACAGACCAAAAGTCTGTGCAAATAATAACCGAAAAGTTAAAAGGAAGCGAATTATATGAAAATATTATTTAACAGCATAACACTACTAATATTAGTAGGAACTCACAATACAGTTAATAGCATTTAAATACTATAATTGGCAATCACTAGCTTCTAGAGGGTCGGAGGCTCAGAAGTTAAGCACTTGACTTGTAATCTATAGTTCCTGGGTTCGAATCCCGCCATGTACCAATGCGATATTCGATTTACATATGTACATTTATCCAATGTTTCTACGGTGAAGGAAAACATCGTAATGCATCCTGCCCATATCACCAAGTCACCAACCCGCACTTCCCCAGCATGGTTGACTATGGCTTAGTCACTCCTAACTTAGGGTAAGGTCCCCAAGCCCCTCAGTAGAGAAGTGAAAAATAATATTTATTGTTATACCTTACCATATAGCTGTTCCTACATATATGAAAAAATATTTCCTTGTTACGTTCATGTTTGTGATAGTAAAACGCTGTATGTTGTGTAGCAAACGGGTTTCTCATTATTCAACGTCTCAGCTAAAAGAAACAGTCTGAGTGTACATACAAAGGCGAGGAAATTGAAGAGCATTCCTCTTCCGCCGCGACCTGTTGTCAGCGACGGGCTCGTCCTGACAACGTGAGATATTACCTACGAGATAGTAGCCTAACTTTTACCGTATATAGAGAAATAAGACATTAAAAGTATTCCTACATAAGAAATTACTTGTTGTCATCCTTGACTCCGTCTGCACTAAATAAAAAAAATATAGTATTCTTCGAGAGTACGTTACACATGCATGCAGCCATTTATGTGATACCTTCTAACAAACATCCATCCAGCCATCTAAGCATTAGCATTTATATCTGATGAACTTGAATTCTCAAATTTTTTTCATGACATTTGGTTAGACCCAGTTAAAAGATGTTTTCGTCTTAATTTACGTCATTCCTTAAATATGTATATCTTTAATGTATTTCTTTATTTATTACACCGCAATTTGGTGAAATAGTATTTTAAAATTGAAAACGTGAAAATTTCCCTTAATTATGAAATAACGTGACTGGAATCGAAAAAAAGTAGCACAAATAAAATATCGCTGATTTTCTAGTAGCGCAGAAATTGGTCGCGTGCGGGAACACAGTCACGGTAACGTTGCTGCCGACCTAATGTTTCCGTAAAACTAAATGCGATCTGATATAAAACTGGAGCTCTATATACAACTTGAGGTTAATGATCTTATATTGATTCGTAATATAGAACAATGACTCTATCATTAGAACTTTGGAAACAAGTCTAAAAGGAGGAATGTTGACAATGTTACAAAAAATAATAGTAAAGGGAAATTAAGATTAAATTTCATTTTTAAAACTACGAGAAGTTGAATCAATTTAAGCTGCACCTAAGATCGTCTATGATATTTATTTTTCATCCCAACATTTTCCTCGTTGAAGCAGAACGTGAGTAGCAGTCAAAAGATCTTATATGGCAACACAATTTTATAAATGAATTCATTTAGATAAAATACTTTAATTCCATAAACTTTAACGTACGTGCAATAAGTATACAGGAAATAATGGAGGAAAAACAAAACATAACCTAACATTTCAAAAACCGTTAAGATTTTTAAATATTGCAATATAACGAACACATAGGTACCAAACATTACTCTTCCCAGCTGAGTATAGAAAAATCCACAGTGAGGTGCTCGGAGCCTACCCTAAGTTAGGGGTGAATAGGCCTTAGTCAACCACGCAAGCGCAGTGCGGGCCAATATACTGCGTCCCGGAGGCCTAATTTAGTCCTCTTCCCGTCCCCCCATTTTTCTTAAAAGTAAAGGATGGGAAGTGGACTTGCCAGATGAGAGGATGCATGGAAAGGGAAAATACTTTCATTCTGTGCATCCTCTCCTTCGTCGATTAAAGGTAGGCAACGCATATGCAATTGCGTATGTCTATGGGCAACGGTCACTTCGCTATATCAGCGATTTCAGGTGGCCGCTCGTTGGTTTACCAACTTATGATATAAAAAATATATATAAAAATACTGAGCTAAAAAAAATGTTATCAAAAGAAAGTTAAGGATATTGAATTACATGTTATATCTGACGCCGCGGGCATCGTCCGTCCATTCTAACAGATATTACGGCACACACAATTTAATAAATGGCGTTACAGATTGTACGCAATTCGATTACAAGCATAGGTCAAAGGAACGAGAACGACGACGGCCGTAACGAAGTTGAATAGCAGAACAATTGAAGCTCGTCATAACAACATTCCCGATCCGCATTCTATGTCTTATTAAGAAACAGTTTTGTTACAAGTTATATACCAGATATGTTTTATATAGCTAATAGACATGCCATTGTAACCTACTAACTAAGACGTCCTGAATGCATATAATAAAACTGATCAATAGTAAAACGCGTGAAGCTAAACTGTGTCTTAAATAAGCTTAAAATAGTAAAAATATCAATAAAATTTTAACTTTAGCTGTAATATCAGCTCTATGCTCCGTGATTGAGAAGTACTTTACTTATAATCAGAAATAATCAAACGAAGCACTACTTTCTTGTTTTAGAACGGCGTTACATTGTTACAGCTTTCGTATTCGCACGATTTTATCAGTGTGTACTCGTTTAGTCAGGTTGTGCATTAATTATGGGAGAACGCCATAGAACGGCGCGACTTACTGCACTGGGTAACTTCCACTCTAACAAAAACAAACTAGTAATAGATTTCTCTTTACATTACCCACGTAAACTATTTCCCTTCAAGGCCAATTTCCTACATAGATATCTGTCACATACCTATACTACTAACGTCAAAGGATATAAAATGCTAAACATTACTGTATCCTCCACGTAACAGAGCAATTGGCCGTGAGCCATAAAGCAGTCAGGGCAATGGTTTATTGCGGACCTAATGCGCCCCGGGAGCACATAACGCAGCAATTTAACGATCAGATATCAAACGTCTCGGGTTCGACGCTCGCCTACCGCTGAAACAAGATTAACGCCAGCGCCCCCTAATCCCCATGCTATTGCTTAAATTAATCCCCATTTAGTCCATTTAGTGTATTCCGTGCCTTGCAAATGTTGGTTTCACCATTGTCTACCGCAAATATAAAGCTGGCCAATGTTACGCTTACCTTCTCTTTATTCCTATGAATTCCCTTCCTAAATCCAAATCTCCTTTCCCAAGTACATTCCTTCTTAACATATCACAGTTGAGAAAACAAAACGTCGTCAAAAACACCAATTTGTAATCAGAGATCTTTGTTACTTATCTATTTGATATTTTTCTTTCGAAAATTGCCCATCCATTATAAATTATTATACTTCTTATTAAACTTAAAGAAATAAAATCATGATACAAGTATTTATGTATTTAACATATTAGGAACAAATGTTATTGTTTAAAACAGTGGAAATTTCCGATTTACATGTTAGCATTCAAAGCTTAGCTTCTGAGAGCACAAAGCGTCGGATATTGAAGAATGCTTTGTTTCCGTAGTCCCTTTGTCCGCGACTGCGACGGCCCCGAAAACTGAAAATTGATTCATCTTATTTCTTCTTACTAATATTATAAATGCGATTTTTTGGACGAATCGATGGATGGGTGTTTGTTAGAAGGTATCTCCAGAACGGCGACGTGGATCTCGCTAAAAATCGGCATAGATTTAGAACATAATCTGGAAAACATAGGCTACTAAATAAGTTTTTTTTTGCGAGCAGGCGAAGTCACCAGCATTTTAATAAAAAACCTTATTATAGCAAGAAGCTGCTCATTATTTAACATAAAGTATAATAATGAAGTAAATATTAACCTTTAGAACGTAGTTCCGTGTTTCATAAAATGAAAAGTCGACAACATTACCACCCCGACGCAACGTTGAGGTTCATTAAAATCCTTTTCTTTGATTAACGTCATCAAGGTGCCGTGTAAACGGCGTTTATTTAAAATGTAAACCTAGAATAAATTATTATACGTATATCTGCAAAATTAGTACTTTACGATCGGAAAAATCTTTGGCAAAATAATATTACTTGGTACCACGTTACGACAAACTTAATGTCTGCCAATTTAGATCAATAAACTGAAAACAGTTAAACTTATTTTTAGTTAATTTCAGCAAAGCTTTCTGAGTTTATAGTATTTCCTATTGAGAAATTAACCCAAGTATTGCTTAACTTCGTTACCTATTGTTTTCCTTGAATAAGGTTTTTTATTAGAAACGACTAAAGTTTTTACTCCCCAATGCTTTGTCGGATTGTTCGAAACAAACGAAACAAATGCTTGAAGTTTAGCCGAGCAATGAATCTCAGGCAGTCCCGGAGGAAACTTAGCAGGTACGCGCCGATACCAATAAGAAAAGAAATACGGTCAAGAAAACATTGCACGTACTATGAAACATTCCGCTAAATGTTATTTACTTCAACAGTTTCTTTTATAAAAGTTTACTCATTAAGTAAAAATAAAGTAAATAATGCGTAGTCCTTCATTTTAATTTAAAAAAGTATCTTATTTAAATCGGGAGATTTTAAAAGGAATGTAGTCATAACACATACTGATTGAATCTGCTTCTTTTTAAATTATAATAATATATATTTCTTTACATTTCTTAGGAAGCACTGGAGGTGCTAAGAACAGCGGCGACGCGTGTTGAGCTGCGCGTGTGCCGACCGCCTAGTGACGCGCTGGAGAGCCTGACGCCGCCCGACCCGCCGACGCCACCCGTCCGCACACCTCACCCACCACATCTACCGCCGCTCGACCCCCTCAACTGCCATCCCTTACATGCTCGGTAATTATAATTTCACATGAGGACAAAACAGTATGAATAGTTTTAAATGCCTTCGTGACTCAGGTTCCTCTGCGCGCTGCGCAGTGCCCTTCCTATATGCGTAGAATTTTTACGTCCTTTGACCTTTACGTCCAACTACACCTAAGATGGTGTTCCGCGCAGAGACTTATACGATGTTCCGAGCCGCTAAGATATATGAAAACTATAATACTCCTCTTTTTTACATCTGTTTAAAATCTATGTTGACTGTTGTATAAAAAGAACCTACAAAATTACTAATAATAATTTAAAAGCAACGATTACGCATTTATTTTCCTTGCTTCTCCTTATTATGCGTTACAACGTTTAATTATTAACTCTAGTCAATAGATAATTAAAATAAAAAATATGATCACGATGCACTAAATTAAGACATCCAATTGGCAATTAATAACTCTCTGAATGTCGGCTGTGGTAATCTAAACGAGCCTGGCCGTGTACTTTGAAATTAAAGGCGAGCGGCGCAACCGCGGCTCCATTCCTTACATAGTATGACAAGATAATCAGAGAAACAAGCGCACATAAAGTTGTTACTACGCATATTCAAAGGCATCGCACAGGAAAGCTGCTGTTAATTATGTTGTTCTAGTATTTTAGTTACATTGCAGCTACTCTACACAAAGACCCTTTTAAGAAACATTTACGAAAACCCTTTCTTAACCTTTACATATATAAATAAAATCGAACGGTCCTGACTATGTAAATCTTACCCAGCTTATTTATAAATACATACCTACTATCTTTTTACCCTTACTTCTGTGTCCTTTATACAGTTTTTTACGAAAAAAGTCACATCGTGGTTTTTTTTAATCTTATAAAGCATCAGCCTATAATTATATTGCTGGCCAGTTTTAACGTACGAATATATTCTCAGTTATAATATAGTTAGAATATTTAAATCTTTTCAGGCTATCTCAAACAACTAGTAGCGCGACCACATCGTCTTCAGAAGGCCGGGGCAGGCGGGAGGTGAGCCCTGAACCTGACAGGCGGGATCTACATCTCCCAGACTTGGACAAGCCGCTGCCTGTATACGATATACAGTATGGAGTGAGTATAACACCTTTAAAACTGTACCAGCTGTCGCCCGCGACTCCGTTCGTATTAAAAATAAAACTTAATACCCTATGTGTTCTTTCAGATTATGTTCTATATCTGTGCCAAATTTCAACAAGATTCATTCAGCTGTTCTGGAGATTAACTTTGAACATCCATCCATCTAAACATTCGCATTAATAATATAGAAAATTTGTTAACATTTCTCAATGTAAACGTAAATGCTAGATGCAATGATAAAAGTCAGAATTAACTCATCTACTTTGCCTCTTACTAAGTAATTTGAATAAATTATAATAGAATATGTTTTAATTGCACTTATATGCTCAAATACAGTCTACTAGTTGTACTATTTCCGTAGTAACTAATAATTTATTGAATAGACAATGGCTATCAATGTAGGCAGTTTACATAATGTTACCATTATCGTTCTCATACAACCCTAAAGCTGTACAATATCACGACTATGTTCCTAACAACGGCCTGTACATTGCTCTATATTACAAGTAATTGTACTGCGTATTATACTCAACATTTAAAACTCTTTAAAATGTGTTATATTTTAGAGAAAAGTATATTAGACTTAACTTATAAAAACTTTTATTTTTCAACAACTTTGAATATATTAGACCTACATATATGTCCACGGTAAGGGTAATAATACTAGGCCAAAGATACCTAAACACACTTTTATGACATTTTTTCCGTAGCCGTATAATCTTTCATTTTCGAAAGAAATCCTCTTACCAGAATTAAATTGAAAATTAATTGAACTCTATAAAATATTAAAAACTTAATCAAAGAATTAAACTTAGTACGTAATTCTTCGCTTTTATTTAACATAGCCTCATTAACAATTACGATAATATTTTTCATCTCTTTGGTGATTAAATATAAAGTTAAATGGCTGCCGATTCAGAAGTAGCGAAGCAGTCATTGTGAAAAGTAAACGGTCGGGCAATTTCTTTTATTGATAGTCGCCATTAACGCTGCGCGTTTAGAAATTCAACCCTTGAGAGAAAAAGCGGCCGGAATCGAAAACAAATCTGCGTATTCGAATTAATTTTGCGCCAAAAAATATTTTAGTATTCTAACGAATGCCATCTGCCTTTTGCATAAAAAGTTTTTTACGAAATAAATATACTCTGAATTTCTTTAAACCTTTTGGAAAATATAATAACGGTTTTATTTAAATATGTATGTTTCGTAAGGAAACAAAAAGTAATGTAAATTAAAAAAATAATAATATAATAGAGTAAAAAATACACCATTAACTCTTCACGAGATTAAAAAAGACTATAGAGTCCTTTGATTAGTGCCGTAAACATTTGTGATAACTATTTAAGTATATAAAAGTAATTCCTATAGAGAGTAAGATTCAACTTTGCATCCCACTGCCATGCTGTATTAGGGGGGGGGGCGTTTCGGCCTCCGTGACACACACTCATCAGACGAAACGCGGAATTTCTTCCACTTCACGCCTGTCTTCTGTGCGGTCGTCAACTATTTTAAAACCAGAATTAAATAGTTTAGAAAGGAGTAAGATAAATGTCTTTCTCTCACATCATTAAGACGCGGCCTCTATATGCTGTAATCCTCGGATATATTTTAGTTCAATGAGCGGATCATCAATTAAAACAAGTGTCGATCGCGTAGTTTTATCTCGATGCTATTAATCCTACATTTTCTAAGACTTAACTCTCTGTATCTAACGAGTATATTTTATCTTATACGAGATTTTATGTTCTTATGATGTTTTATACACGTATTATAGATCCCTTCACTCTTTATGGACATAAAAAAGTTGCTATTTTTTTAAAAAGGCATTGTTAATTAATGGAATTGAATATCCTCTAGTTGGCTAGATAACCCTTTCCCAATTAATAAAGCTATTTGTTCACGGCTGCAGGATGATGGATCGGTGGTGAGTAAATTATTCAATAGCTTTAGAGGATCAGCCGTTAAAAGTTGAATAATCCGTTTTAATTAAATCCCGCTGCCAATAAAACACCGCTCTGCTGCCCGTACAAATTTCGCAAATGTATTTTCGTCCAATTATTTTATACCCGTTCCTTGGAAGCGCCGTAATGAATGGATGGCTTTTGTTTTTATGATACTTATATTTGCTTTCGCTGATTGTGTTCCAATATTGCGTGCTGTTTTCCGTTATTTATTTGAATGCTTAAAGTGCGAGCTTTTTAATTATCTTTTTAAATATACGTCATCAAAGTTGGATTTTTATTTATTTGAGGTTTCTACTTTCAAATAAAATCAATCTGACAACATTATTTTTATGTTAAGTGACCTTATCTTTTTGAAAATGGCAGGAATTCGATATAGTGATGACGAAGGTGAATGGATCCCTGGGCTTCACGTTGCGAAAGGAGGACCACAGTGCACTGGGGCACTACGTCCGTGCGTTGGTCCGGGAACCTGCGCTCAGCGACGGCAGGATACAGCCAGGGGACAGAATCGTCGCGGTAAGTAATACTAACAATACCGTTGAGTCATGATTACTACAATGAATAAAACTGGTTTGGAGTATCCGTCTTTCTCGAATAAAAAACATATTACGTACACATATAACATATTTGCGTAGCCGATAACAAAAAAACATTTTTATAATTTTCTTTCTGTCTGCATGTTTGTCCGTAAGCCGCGTGTGTTTCGGATAATCTACGCAACGAATTTACGATTTAGACGGAAAGGCTGATGTAGGCGAGCTATAGATTATTTTTTAATCCTGTGTTGACGAAGTCGCGGGCGACCACTACTATACAATGTTTTGTGTTGTATTACAGGTGAATGACACGCCGATGTCCAACATGTCACACACGGAGGCTGTGTCATTTCTGCGCGCGTGCGGCGCGGACGTGCGCCTGCGACTATACCGCGACCACGCCGCCACGCCTCTCTCGCCCGTCTCGCCTAAGGATGATGGACCCACTGACTCCGACCCACCACTCAACAGGCCTAAACCACCATTGAGGTGAGTGTAAACAATACGTCATTGTCGCTAGTCGACTAATTACGCCACATAACAAATCGTTAATTGCAAGTCTCAACCTGAGGAGTATACCATATTATATCTTCATTAAGGGTCTCTGAGTGATAAATAAAAGGCTTAGTACGGCAGTAAGTCTTATGCAAAATACATACTAGTAGCAAAAAGCATAATTATCAACTTATATTCAAACGTAAGGTTTCCTCAGACATTGAACGGTTTCATTGAACTAATACTTCGTAATTGATTATACCACACGACCTAGGCTCCCTAGCTTGGTCGCTAGAGGCTTATTCTAAATAAAACATTTACTTTCATGACCTGTGATTTATATAGCGAAACTTTTTATAGATGGACGGTTATTGCTAGGTATTTCGAGAACGTCTCAACGGATCTCGATGATATTTGGCATTGAGAACTTAGTAGGGAAGGACACGGAGACATCTAATTACCAATTAAATTTTACTGTGGCAATAAGCTCGTGTTTATAACATATGTGTGTGTACAGACCAGAAGCAGTATCAATGCTATGCGACCTGGCAGCGCGGCGACTGACGCCGGATGCGGCTGACGGCGCGCGCTCGCCCTGTCTCTCCCCGCGCAAATTCCGCAAGCTCACTAAAGACAACAACCACTACGAACAACCCACTGGTAAGTAATACCCCACCATAACTGTTTGAATAACTCATCTTAAAAGCCTCGAAAATTTGAATTTAAATTATTGTGAATCTGCAGAATTATCAACGATGGTGACGTTATTGATTTTACAGATAACTAAACATAATTTGCCGCTCTTTTTGTCCTAAGTACGTATTTATTTTAAAAAGTAAAACAGAACCTAATTTAGTTTGTTTATTTGAAATAAAATAATTCAATAATTTATACCACAGCAGAAGCACACAATTTGTATATTTATGAGCGACGAGTAAAATAAAAAGCATAAAGTGGGCATCATTTAGATAATGGATAAAACAATGCAGTGCGCATTGCATGTATTCTGCACTGGTTTGAGCAAGCGAGGCACGTTCATAATTTATCTATGTACACATGGGATGGCCAATATTCAAAAGGATTAATAGCTGGGAAAGCTATGCACAATCTAATACAATTAAAAGGAGTTTTATCATTTTGAATTAGATAGAAAAAAAAATATTACAATTTTAAATTTTTTATCTGTACAAGTTTGCAATTTGAACGATTTTTCTGTTCGGATTTGGCTACCATTATGAGTTTTAGCCATTTTAATTCATAAAGTTTTTTAGTTATTGAAAGTTTAATAAACCTTTTCCCAGTGCAAATTGCTCCTAACATTCAAAGCTAATTACGCGCACTGGCCGGACAAACGTACGTTTATTATCAGCCTAATTGATTCGAATTACTGTCACCCGCATTCAAACGAAAACACATTTCCAAACCATTGTTTGTTAATAGCTATAAAATGTGTTGTTATTTAAACTAAATATTTTACACTCATTTTATATTTTGATTTAATATTTCAGTGATATTAAAGTGAAGTGTTATTAAATAGCAAACGGAAAGATGACAATTGTTTTACAAATTAAGCCTAACATTACCTATCTACGTAAGACGATTGATTGATCGTGTAATCGAGTCTCTTTGTCGTTTGATTTCATCAAAGGTTTTTTCTTGTACCAAATTTGTTTCTTTATTCATTCCGTTTCTAATATTTGGAGCTTTAGATAATGCTAGCGAAAAAGAAGAAAAGAAAATAAATCAATCTGTATTTCGGAATTTCTAAAAATAATTTTTATTTATTCATCACCAAAAGACACTAAACAATATTTTATACATCACATATTTTTATATAAAAATCGCTATCGCTACGTACACACAAGCACTAAGCGACAGTTTTTGCACAGATGGCCCAAGTACGGACATAAAGCTTGAGACACACTATCCGCTAGTCGATACCGTCGACGGTACGGTGAGCGATTACAAGCAGCAACAGCTGCCACAACTGCAACAGTTACAACAGCTGCCGCAGCGTACTGCTACACTCACCAGCCCCACAGCCCCGCCCACTTGTAGGAAACAAAAGTTGAGTCTGACAGGTGAGACTCTGTCAGTACCCCTCACATACATGCGTATAGTCCGATCTTGAACGACGAATCGATCGTCTATCGGCAATTAACTGTGAGTTTCTGAGACCGAAATCTCCGTTTAAAACGTGTTATCTCTGTTTTGTCAAGAATGACAGGGACGACGATATGTTTTATACTGAGATTTTGATCTTAGAAACTCACGGTAAGTCTCCTATACTTTTTGTAGAAAATACCATATGTCAATTATTATCTTACTCACGATACGTTTACAATCATTTATAATTCCAAATTTGTACAATATTTAAGTAACGCGCTATAATGTACTTTCCTAACCGTAAGTTTGTTAAATTATTTTCCATCTCGTCTAACTTTAAACTAGATAAGTTTAAAATAGAACTGTTCGGTATTTTAGACCCAGGCAATAATAACCTTTAAGTATATTCTGACCTTATTTATCATCAAAAATAAATTTAACTTTAAATTTACCCAATATCATTGAAAAATGAAAACATTTACGAACAATGAATAAAATTGTTACTTAAATGTATTGAAAACAACTGCAGGAGTAAGCAATAAATATAAGAACTTTGAATAGATTTATTTCGTAATATTTATTTTCAAAATAAATTTAAAAGTGTATCGTGAATAAGTGAATATTGCAAAACAAATTTCAATTCGTGCGACGAACATTCCTCTACAGTATTGCACTTTTGCACTACCATATTGGTTTGATCTGTAACCAATACTGCTTGTTAGTACTTTTCACTTTTTGCATATTTTACACAATAAAACCTTTTTTTCATATGTATTGACCTAGTGTTAGTATTATTAAACATAAAATCCCTGCTTTTATTGAATACATGACTTATGTTTTAAACTCACGACATTTTAAACACACATCTTTAAATGTAATTTCAACATTTTTATATACATTATTCTATCACAGATTTACATTTTTATATTTATTAGACAAATGAACTTTTCATTATGCACGAATGTAGAAAGTATTTTGCAGCACGGTCAAAATTAGCCCCAAAATTATACCCATTTATGGGTATCTTTCACTATTTGATTTATTCAACAAAATCTGTATTTGAATCTTACAGTAATAATTATATTTAACGTTATATATTTGTGATTCCAGTGCCTCCTCATGGTTACGAGTTAAATAACCTGGACAACGATACCCTGGACGCGCCGAACGTGTACCAGGAGGACATAAGACCGAGGTACACGGAGGCAGTGTTCCCAGTCGACTCGGACGAGCCTGTATCAATGCCGGTGGAATTGTCGAGTGATGAAGCGCGCTTCAAGCATTCCAGTCCAGCGTACCAGAGCGCTGTGCTGACTTCTAGCAGCGAAGTCGCCTCAGATGGATACAAAGACGATGGTAAGTACATCGTAATTGTTAACGTAATTTTTTTTTTTAGGTCTTATAGATAATAGTAGAAGATAGTTGGATGTTGTGTTGTTATATCTATGTAATAAAGTGAAATGAGATAGTAGTTGTTGATGTTTTATCAATTTATTTGCAGGAAATGGTTTAAAGAAATGGAAAGGCGTCGCTCTGTCGCCCGACAATGAACGGAAGATGATACCTGAAACACAGCCGAAACCTAAAGTTATGGATGTTGCGCAAAAAGAAAACGTCAAACCTGGACCGCCTCAAGAAAACGTTAACAATGAACCGACGGTATGTAATACATTTAACATCAAAACACCATATTCACTATTTTTAAAACAGATTCTAGTTTATACTGCTCTTTGGGCCACTGTACAGTCAGATGCATAAATATCTATACATTTCAATGGTTCAAAAACTTGTATTAGCCTACGGTTTCCAAAATAAGTATGTACTTATCTATATGTATAATATGCTTCCGGCGAAAACATGCATACGTATTTTTGAAACCGATGGCCTATACAAGTTTCTAAAGTATTAGGATTGTATAGATATTTATGCAGCTGACTGTACACGGACAGCTCCAAGCAACCCCTGCTTACGAAGCCGGGTCATGTCGATCTGTATGAACGTGTTTGCTTGTTTGCAGATAGTTACAGTGGAACTGAACCGGGGCTGGAACAGTCGGCTGGGGTTCAGTGTGCAGAGCCACCCGGAGTCTGGTCAGAGCTACATCTCCGCTGTGTACAGTGACAGTGTGGCCGCGCGTGATGGCCGCCTGCGTCCCGGCGACGTCATACTGCAGGTACCTTCGCCATTGACATCTATACAACCCACTTCAGCTGTTGTCAATTGCCAGACCCAGAAAACAGGCGTGAAGTATTCAGCTTTTCGTCTGAGGATTAAGATGCCAAACAGAGTTTAATATCTCTGTACAAAACATATCGCCATCTGTATCATTATCTTTGACAAAACTGAGATAATAATATGTTTTGAACTGGAATTTTAGTCTCAGAAACCCACGTTTAATCCTATGCATTACAATCCTATGTCACAGTTACAATAATATGTTTTAGTTCATAAAAATTCAATTTTTGTACAGTTATAATAATAAAAATCTCCCAGTATTTTGACTACAGTCCTTGAAATTCTATTTTTCAGGTGAACGATGAAAATGTAACATCAATGAAGACACCAGAAGTGATAGACTTACTGAGAATACTCCGAGGCTCGATCTGCATCACCGTACTACGTCCTCCCAGCTCTAAATAAACTCATACCCAATACAAGCATAAGGCGACTAAGATATAAATTATAATCACGTAACAATTCAAAATGATTATTCTTAGCACAGAGAAGCACTAAAATATTGCTTGAACAACACAAGCCATATATTTGAACACATTATTAGTTTAAATAATGAGATTATTGATAAAGACATAGCATCGTTATATTAAAAAATGTAATTGAATTCTAAAAAGGACTTTTAATAGATTAAAGTATAACACGATTCAAACTTTATGGCCGCTTGTGGTTAACGAACGCATATCTTACTATACCTAAAATTGTATTTTATGCAGTTTCAAGCCGAGCTACTGTAAAGTTTGTATGGCACTATGACAGTAATATTCGTGTGATATATAGGAATTATTAAGACAATCATTGGTAAGATAACACCCGCACAAATGCTTTATCTTGAACGCAAATAACACGTAGTGTGATTTATTAAAATAAGCAATCAAATATCGTTTAATCGTAGTACATCTTGTCACCTTCCTTATTACTTATGATGAAAACTTTTAACTTACCACAATGTATTAAAAGTTCCTATAACAAATTCATTTACGTCATCTAGTTGTTTTTTTTTAATTCACACTAAATTGCTTTCTAACTTACTATATTGTGGAATTGATCTCTTAAAGAGTCTCGTAAAAATTATAAAAAAAAACATTAGCTTATAAAAAAATAATTATGATACAATTTTATGTCTTTGGTCAAATAACACCTATAATAAAAAATCATAGCATTAAAAACGTTCAGAATATAGATAAGAAAAAAAATTAAGAATCACATGCCTATTTTCCTATTGGAAAAGATTTGCGTTTGATGTCTATAAAATAATTATAATTTTAAAAATAAAAATTATAAAAAGTCGAAATCGCAAACTATCTTTATAATTATAGCATTCCATGCTTTAATTTTTGTAGTTATTAAACTCAATTAATTTGCAAATATTTTAATGTAACAATGCAAAAAAATATATAAAAATTAACATTATATAATCTGTATATTAGAAAATCGTCGTAAAGACTATTTATTTGCACATTGTATTTTAATATATGGCCTGAAAAATATTCATATTTATGAAACAATAATTTCCTAACATAGATTTATTTATTATAAAAAGACTTAACTGCAACTACATGTGAGTTTACTTAATAATACATAGAAACTTATATACATACTTGTATACAACTTTCGTATAACATTATAGCAAAATAATTAGGAACAGCTTAACATACGTATGATCATCCGGTAACGGCACCGATAATTCCTGAAGATATCCTAGTCTAGATTCCCGACCGATCTGAAACTAGTCCGTGCCGTCACTTATACGTGAGTTAAACCGTTCCTAATTTATTTATTCATATATTTGTTTATTTTTATATTACGATAGTTTCAACATTATTCTATACAAAGGTGAATGCGACAGTTTTTTGCCTGTTGATTTTTTTAAGGTTTTAATTTTTTTTCTTTTTGTTCAGTGACATTATGTACCAATCTTAAATATTAATAGCCATTAACATGTAGATAATTACGCCATATATTAATGCAATAAATAAAATCATATAAGAACGTATATAATGGATATTTAGCGTACTTTCCTGTAGGTACTAAATATATTAATCTAGTCAAATCGATAATTTTGATCATTTCGTTTCGTAATAATAATTTAATATAAATCAATAATAATATAAGAATAATTACAGCTATATTATGATATGAAAAAAAAAAACATTTATTTCTACTTTGGTTGCTAAATATGTAATGTTGACAAGTGAAAGATTTTATCAACAAATCAAGTCGAAAATATATTTTAATAAAGAGTTAGTTTAAGATAATGTAAACTAGGTTAACAAATATATTAACGTAATCAGAACGAAACAAAAATCAACTGATATTCTAAAATTATTGTGATGGATTTGTGTTAATAGATATTTACTATATTACATACATTCTTAACATCTAATGAAGTTATATGTATTAGTAAAACTTAATAAATATAATATACATAATGATTAGTGCAAATAATATATAAGAGGGAGCTGCGGCGCTGCGTGACGTCATTTACTTCGTGCTCACAAATTTTGTTAAATATAAAAATATGAAAATTTACATTTCTTTTTTATTCATACTCTATCCGATCCCAATCTTATGTCCCTATATCCTTCATGATGCACTTCTTCGGTGTTGAATAAATAAATAAATACTGAACGCAATTTATGAAAGCTTAAATTACAAAGCTATCTTTTGTACAACTGGTAAGCTTGCGAATTTAAACTACAATCCATTAATTACAAAAGATAAGTTTTCTTCTATTCTTATTTATAAATGTGAAATTACTGAGTACGGCTTATGTAAAAGAAGAAAATTAAACTTTTACGTTTAATTTTTTTCTTGTCCTAATTTTTAGCTTAGATTTACTTAACGTTCTAGTTCTTTTGTATTAAGTAATATGACGATAAGATACATTCTGTACACCTGTGAGCGATTATTGAACCTGAAGTCATGGTGCGGAACAACGAACGGGTCCCGCGTTGTCGACCGACCATCCGAGACACCCAATGGTGTAATGCAACTGCTTACATAATTTTACACGAGTTAGTAAAACATAATACAGAGAATAATCTGTAGTCTAACCTGATTTATAAAGCTGGAATTTTATGTCCTTTTAGCCTTCCTTTTATCTATTTTACTAATTAACAGCGAATATTGGGATGGTTCGATGTTTGTTACAAGGTATATCCAGAACAGAGGCATGGATCTTGCTTTAATTTGCCATAGATGTAGTACATAATCTTTAAGAACACATATGCTACTAATTAAGCGTTTTTCTTAATACGCGCGGTCGACGTGCCAGGAAAAGTTAATGTCATATTTGGACTGAACGGTAAATCGAAGTACAAAATTCCAAGTCTCTATCATTGCTACGCAGTCTATCCTGGTGTGCTTACAAGAATAAACACGCTGTTGTGAACGCGCACACGCTGAATGAATGAAAATCTTGTCACGTAATGAACGTGGTCATAACATGAGATTGACATAGTTTTACTAAATGTCTGGGCAACTGACCAAAGCGAATGTGCTCGTAAAATCGACTTACGTGTGTATTAAGTGAAGACAGTTAACATTTAATTATTATTAGTACTAACGCATCTGTGGCATATGGTGGTCACGGTCAGCGAGCGTCCACCGGCACATACTAGCCAGGGGAAAGGGACGAGGGGGATGCGGTCCGCTGCACAAACAACGTTCCAAATTTGAATAGACCGTAGTAAGGAGTAAGATTCCAGTAGATAATATTCGAAATTAAGTTCAGACAAGAATTTCATTATGTTTGCAAAATAAATAGATACAGTGAAAGTAAAACCACTTCTTACTAAACTTATACTATTGGTCCTGTATTCAATTCCAAAATAAGTACGTTAAGCATGAATTTAACACTTTAAAGAATACTTTTATAATTTATTTATTGTCTTGGAAACCAGTGAAAACGTTTGACTTGATTCTATGTGGTCATTGTGGTATTGTGGTTATAGTTAAATGAAAAACCATAACACGAAGAACCTGTTATTCTCCTGTGAATTTTATCATATTATTTTTATAAAGCACTAGATTATGAGTCATAAAAAATCCTATTTCACAGTTACACTACGACCATGTATAACTCAACATGCTGAATCGGAAAAAAATAATACCAAACTCTCAAAATCACTTCATTTTCTATTAGCTTATTCTTGTCGCTACATTTACAATAGCTTTTTGAACCATACGAAGAAAAAAATTCCTACCACCATAAGAACATCTAGAGATAAGGCTTTCAACAGACAGACAGACAGATGTAGTTTAAGGATCGGGAAACAAAACATCTTTTTAAATATGTCAAAAATCACTGGGAACTTTTTCTATAAATGATTATGTCACATTAACACATTTCTTTAAAGCTTTTGCAAGTATTGGAAGAAATTGTTTATTGTAGCGTCTGCCATCATTAAGCGACACCTGGGTTCTAGGGTTGTCACTCGAATGTAGAGTTAGTTGCAGTAAGCGATTCACGCGCGTAAGTCGCGTTTTATGTGTTGATAAAATATATCGGAAGTGCAGTGAACGACTATTCCGCAATCATTATTTTAAATTTATACATGAATTGATGGAATTATTTTGCCAATAAGTGATTTTGTTTTTCAAGTGAGTAATTTATTTTCTTTTTTATTTTGTTTTTAAAACGTAACATAAAATCTATATCAGTGAAAACATACAATTTAGGCTTTAATAAGATGAAAATCAAATTGCAAGATTTTTGTTTGCAAATTGCAAGAAATTTGTTTTTTACTTGCCAAAACAATAATATCAGCATTTCTATACTCTTATATGTATTTATAAGACACAAAACTGTATTTACTTAATTAATGTGAAGTCGTACATAAAATTTAAATGTAAATAATATCATGAAATGATCTCAAAATCCAGCGGACCAACTTCAACTTTCACTGAAACTTCATCAAAACAACTGATATTATTTTTTGTTCCTTTCTGATTTGTTTTTCAGTAAATTTCGGCATCACGCTGTGTCCATTACAAATATTTTATTTAAAAAAACGTTGTTACAAAATGGTTAAACATAAATCAGTATATCGTTAGTTTTTAAATAGTTATTTAGCGTTCGTAGCAACAACATTGGAGATAAAATGGTTTCTTTTCAACATCCATCCTAAATTATCAAAAAAAAACAATTATACGGTTGTTTTAGATGACATTGTTAGGTGTGAGTTATAAGAGTATAAAACATATTAAATTTCCGTTTTACACCATTATTTGCTAGTATATAATCTTGATTCTCTGGGAATAAATAGGTACAACGCAACAAAATTATAGTCAATTTTTGGCTTTCAACAACCTTGGTAACATAATGTAATGATGACACGTTATGGTTATTTTAATAATTTCTATAACTATTTATATTTAACAATTGCGATGTAATAGTTTATATATTATGAAATTCGAGTTTTTGCAATCAAATAAATAAGTAAACAAACATTCTGTGTTTATAAGAATGTATTTAAACGAAACATCAAAACACAGTTGTTTAATTTTGTGCATTTATATAATAATTGCGTAGTACATAAAAGGAAAGATACAATTATTTTATTGATCTATTGTCTAGGCATGATTTTAAAACAAAATTTACTCCCTTTACATCAGCCTTTTTAATTGGACACACAAGAGTGAATTTAAACAGATGTAACTCTAGTAGTTCTCTCTTAACTCTCTGATTTGGTTCTTTTTTTCTCTGATTATCATCAAGCGTAGCAGTATCTTAAACCATCGTCCACAACAATATTTCTAAAGCGATGAATCACTGATATATACAAAGTATATTAAGTAAAACTATTCCCACATTTCTCGGCTCTGTCTTCGCCCGATACTCTACACTCTATTAAGAAGGAATCCAAGTTAAAGATACGCTTCACGCCAATAGATTGAAATTGCTCCCTCCATTGAACAGGTAGAGTCAGTCGTCGAGGCCCATAATTTGTCAACAGGTACACAAATGAATTATGGCGTTAAGTAGACCGCAACAAATCTCAATTTATGGGTCAAACTGACGACAAATTATTCATTACCTACGAAAGTTATCGAGTGTTTTTTTTTTAATTTCATACATTTTAATATTTAAAATTTGTACAGTAAAGAAATAGCATTAGACATGAGGAATCGATGCAAACCGCAGTCGCTTTGAAATCACCAAATGTTTGACCAAATTAAAATGAAGTCTACGGTCACTTATTTTAGATATCTTTTTGAAGATTCAATGTTTTGTTGTTTCCATGAGATGATTACCAGACAATTTCGCAAAAACATGTTGCGTGCACTTGC